TACTCTACACCGATGACATCAAAGTTTGCCGAGCGATCAGAACTCCAGAAGACCGTATCCAGCTTCAAATTGATCTTGACAGGAGTTATGAATAGTCGGTTCAAAATCACCTTTCCTTCTGTGTGGCTAAATGTCGTGTGCTCCAGTTAACACACCGAATGGTTCACACATATAAGCTGGTAGACCAGGATCGGCAACACTGTTCTCTCGAAAATGATCTCGGTGTGTTAGTCCAGGAAGATCTCCGCTGTTCAGTGCAGTCCAAAAAGCATCAAAGAAGGGGATTCACATTGTGGGGCTTTTACAGAGAGTTTTCGGGCAATTCGAACCGTCGATTTTCCTCCAAATACTTCCAGCTTATATACGCCCACGTGTTGAATATGTAATTCAATCAAGGCTCTCATAGCTAAAGCGGGGTCTCGCGGTCTTGGGGTTTCCACAACGTCGGGCAACCAAAAATGTCAAGGAGCTGCACCACTTGTCATACGAACAGTGCCTCAGATTGCTTGGCCTTTTCAGTGGACCTTATCACCGTTTGCATGATGACCTAATCATGGTTTACCAATTAGTAAACAACACTCATCATCCCTGCCCTCACCTATTAAAGTTGAGTCACAACAGCCAACTGAGAGGTCATCATCTCAAATTAGCAGAACAGTACAGTCGGTTGGAGTGTCGAAGAAACTTCTTCTCGCTGCATGTTTGCCACATGTGGAATACCCTCTCAGAATCTGTTGTTTCGCCTCCCACGTTAGCCGTGTTCAAAGCACGGGTCGACAGTGCACTGGCCATACTACACCATTTCACGTAATCCAAACGACCTATACAAACAGCAGAAAAACAAAAACATACCAACCCACCTCCATTTTTACCCGGAAACCACAGACGATAACGTTGGATAGTACCTAAAACAGACGGGAACGCTGTGGTTTGCTCACCTCTAACCGATCATCCGTCGGGGCATGTAAAGCTTCTGTTTATTTTCTCCACAATATACCACTGGCCACTGACCATTGACGACTGTGCTTTGTTTGCACACAGCACAGATGAGTAGCAGCACATGACTAGTGCTCTGGCTTTGACAACGGCCAAATTCAGGCTCACCATCAACACAAGCAAAATTGTCTGTCTCTTTCAGCCTTCATCAGAGATGCTATGTGCAATATTGCCCCAAATCAGCATTGAAGATGAAGTATTGGATACCACCTCCTGCTTCTGCTACCTTGGGAGTGTGATGTCGACTGACCAGCTGTGTATCCGAGTATCGGAGCCAGCGGTGGCATTCGGGAAGCTAGAGTACCGAGTGTGGAACAACCATCAGCTTACCGTTGGCACGAAGCTGATGGTGTACAAATCCATGGTGCTGCCTGTTTTTCTATACGATAGTAAAACGTGGACGATGTACCGGCGGGATGTGCGATATCTCGAGCGGCTCCATCAATCGTGTTTGTGACTGATTCTGCGCATTGGTTGGTAAGACAGAGTTGCGGACACGAAAGTTTTGCGCCGAAGTGAAATGCATGCGGTGGACTACATACTTTTGCTGAGACACCTGAGGTGGCTCGGTCATGTGAGCCGAATGGATTCGACGCCGATACCGAAGCTGCTATTATATGGTCAGCTGAGTTTGGGTAAGCGGCATGTAGGAAAACCAAAGCTTCCTTACCAGGCCATGATCAAAGTGAGAGTCTCACGTTCTACTCTTGATTGCAGGTCGTAGGAATCGAAGGCGGTTGATCGGCGGGCGTGGCGCGAGCTGATCACGAAGGCCGTTGCCGAGATGCAAGAGAAATCACTCGTGCATGCAGAGAAGCAGCAACAAGACGTCACCGTCGCCAATGGGTTGTACTCCATCGATATCGAGCGCATGGTGCTGTAGCACATGCGGTCGCAAGGGCCTGAGCCAGGGAGACCTAGTGAGCCATGAGTGAGGCCACTCGGGACCAACACCGAAACGACGATGCGGCCTGTTGAGAGCGTAGGCAGAACCGGCGCAGCGTTTGTAGCTACGATGTATTCGACTTCCTACCCGCGTGCTTGCATGCTGAGTCTCTTTATTTCAGGTGTTGGGTTTTCCATATTGTCCTAACGCTTTGTTATCTCGTATTAATGTATACCTGAACTATCTTCTATAAACTTGCACACCTTCATGTAACTACTTTAGTTAAATTAGATAACATTTTCACATTCGTGGCATTTTTAAAAGTAATTTTATGACGTCTTGAACTTATCGCGGATTCGCTAGGAACCAAATTATTTCATATGCTCATTTAGTGAAGCGTTATGTCACCATATCCGTATACATTATTCTCTTTAGTTTATTTTAGATCGTCCTTTCAAGTGATTGGCTGTTGCTTGATATCTCCGTTTTAGCTGCTCTTGATGTGCATGTTGACAAGGTGCATACATGTCTATTATCCATTACCTCGTCCATACTGGCGTCAGGAGACAGTTGGTCATTGAGAGAATGGACGGGTGCACGGTCCTTATGACCATGCTAGGCTCGGTGTGGAACGGACTACAGTCCAGCCACCGCCTTGTGTGCGCTTGATTCCCCAACTACAGCGTGCTTGTGTTTGCCTGTAAACGAGTGTGGGCCGGCTCTGTTGATGAGACGTGGCTTCCATCCACATGTCATCCTGTCTTATTCCTTTAAGTTTACACTGCATACGGTGTGTGTTTGGTGCAGTGCAAGCCATCTATGGTCCATCTGTAGGAGTAGGTGTTTTGTGCCTGTCATGTGGACGCCACAGTGACAGGCATATATATATATATATATATATATATATATATATATATATATATATATATATATATATATATATATATATATATATATATATATATATATATATATGGTCCAAGTGATCGGTATTACAGAAACTGACTTTATAGCTAACCTAGGTCACAAATGGGACTGTGTCGCAATCCGAGACACACCAGTGGGTGCTCAAAATTCCAAAGTTCTACCACAGTGTTTCTCTCATGAGTAACTTATCTTGCTTCCTCGGATTCACTATCATCCACACATCTGACGGGTTCCTTGGAACTTGAGGTTAAAACTTACGCCTTGAACAGATAACCTTGAGGGTAGTGCACACCAATTACTACTGTACTGCAGCAGATGATTAGTCCACTGCGAGGTATACCTTCGATCAGGGCTTATCACTGGCATGTACCGAACCTTCGCCATTAAGTTACATTAAAGACTGTTACACATCATTTGCCAGTCGATGAAGATAACACAAATGTCTATCCGAAGCACTGAAGGAATCAATTCTTTTTCTGATATTCGGTCAGATCTGACTTTTTTCAATTGTTTATATTCAATGCATCATTGATTGAGGCTACATTCCGAATAACGATTTAATCTGTCCCTTTGCAGGATCAGTTCCTTGCACTGTCGAGGAATAAAACATTTATCTTCCTTTATCTATTATGAGCAGAACCTTCAATCGTTAGTGTTTGGTCCTATCGGCTTGATAGCAAGAACTGAGCTCCACTCAGATACTAATTCACGTAACGAAAAGTCTATAGGCGAAGAAATCAGTTTGGTGAACAAATCAACATCCTATCATCGATCTGTCACCATCAACTCTCATGAAACCTTCTCGTTTCGTAATCTGTATTGAAAAAGGAAGTCACTGGAATATGCGAACACTTGTACCAATACTAAGGATTTTCCGATTAACAGTTGCTTTCCTCATACAGAGAGCCGATTGTTCTCATAGATTACAATAAGTGAATGGCTTATAAGGGAGAAATTCTCAATATGAGCAGTCACTGTCCTCAATATCACTGTTCTCTTCATAGACATGGAGATTTTACCATGTTTTCTATCAATATCTACCACCTGGTTCGATAGAGTTGTACAGAAGCTGTTATATTCCTATATGGTAGATCCCGGAACTTTACTTCTTTGAGATGAATCATGCGGTCTCGATTCGGACCATTCGTTAAGCTCGAATTAATCTCTAGTTGTTTCCATGGCAACAGTGTGACCCACAATCTTGCTATTAGCCCTGAGAGAAAATATAGCATTATCATTTATTGACCAACTATTTCGCCGTATGCAGTATCACTTGTTATCACGATGTAGTTTATGGCACTTCACGTTTATCAACACACCATTTCCGAATTCACTGTAAGTTTGGGGAGTAACCGTTTCACCAGCTACTGCTATTGTTTCTGACATCATCTTAGTTTTTCCAGTAAAGGCGGTGCACCCGGTCTCCGGGGTCATGGTTTCAAGGATGCAGCCTCAAAGACAGGCCAGTCTGGTTATACTTGCAGGTAATATCAGAGCACTGCGAACTTTGTTAACGCATGTATAGTAACACCGGTTCCTGTTGAGCAATTGGTGCACAAGATGATCGCAGAAGGCTACTGATGTTTCTCCAAACATCCGTTGTAACTACCCATCACCGAGGTTGCCTTTAACCAGTGCGCCATTTTGCACCACTACTTACACGGGTGTGTAGCGGTGCCTGATACAAATTCTAGATTTTAAGAATAAAACTGTCCATCTGCTTGGTTCGATTTGACAAATATTGACACCGTTATCAATTGGCACTTCGTATTCATTTTTTATGCCGTGAATCAACAGCGTGCAGAGTCGGAGCCGAAGCATACATTAAGGTACAACTTTATCAAACTTATGAATTAATAGGAACACGTGCGAATCAGGGAGAAGCTTCTCAGTTGGTGTACTTGGGTCACTGATCTCGCGTTTAAAATTATGCGCATAATGGCGCTACGTCGCTGATTTCTGATGACACGTATCAGTTTACTGTTGACTTTAAGGAGACCTGATTACTTGAACGGCATTCTTGTGACCTTTCTCATTTTGGGCAAGGTAAACGTTTCATGCATGAGTTTCCCTTAACGAATTTAAAAATGTCTATATGAAACAAGGAGTTGTCATTTTGCATACTTTGTGCCTTTGGTACTCCCACATTTATATCACGCTTGGACCATTTCATTCCCCTCATCTCCACAAGGTATGCTTCTTGGTGGGCTGTTTCTCCGAAACATTGGCGAAATCCTTATCCCAGAACGTGTGTACCACGAGGGTAACTTACCCAAAGGATCATATCCCCTCCAAGCCAATTTTACAAGCAGAACCTCCGAAATACCCGACAGCCAATTCAACATCCGTGACACCTGGACCCAATTAGCCGCTTTGCTAGTGGTGAATCCTAGTCTTTCGGGTATAATGCGTCAATTGGCATTGACCACCATCCTTTCTCGAGCCGGACTTGGACTCGATCCTGCCATTTTGAAACAAGTATGCGGCAGTGTGTTTCGGCTCGCCTTCATACCGTGCATTTGCGAAGCGCTGACTTTGATGATTGTCACTCGGTTTCTCATCGGATGGCCATGGGTATGGGGAGCCATACTCGGGTGAGTGGATTCCGCTCAGTTTTCTCCGACTTCTCGTTTCATAAACCACATGACATTTTCCATTTTAACCGAAAACTTTTATGAATTCCCTTTGTAGCTTGGCACTCGTCTAACTTTCTCATCCTTACCATCCTGACTACACAGGCATGCGTTGGAATGTCTCTTACGTTCGATAGGTTAGTGATCAGGATCTGTTTTGTTTTCAAATTGCCAACCTAAGCGGGGTAGCTTAGGGTTTCTTTCTTGTATCTCCCTAAGTCGTTTTATCGTGACTCCTTTGTAGTGAGTTCGTTTTTTGTCGGAGCTGAAGGATGCAAACCACCAATGAGTCTCGATATGACAAAAAGGCTGCTTTAAACGTTTCCGGATGTGTGCAGGAATGTATGATTTCGAAGCCACTGTAAAATACTCCCCATTAATTGCCTCAGAAATCTTTTACTCCTGACTAGACGACATTCCATCCACTTGTTAATGATGCATGATATTTTTTGCTTTCAGGAGTTATTAGTAACATTACTGCCTCGACTATTACTGCTGTTGCTGCTACTACTAATGTTATGCGTTCAAGCTCCGAAACTGCGGCGTGGATCCACCAAATTAGGGCCTTCGGAAGACGAAAAGTACAACTTAAACACACCGTTCCGGTCTACTTCTACTGAGCCAAGACACTCAAATTTTAACATGTGGATGACATTTTTGGTAGATTCTCGTCTATGCTTATTTTTTTACTTCCTCTTTTTTAGTTGTTTTCAGGTTATCCGCTTCTTCAGTTGTATGCATTCAAAACTATTTTATCAATCAATTGTCCTGTGTTATTCTAAACAATGCAGTGAAAAGACGGACGTCATAAGATGATATCATTTCGTGCTCTCTCATCACATGCAAACGAGCAACATTTTAAACGATCGCTGACGGAAAGGAATCAATAGCTTGAATTTTGAATGAGTAGGCACATGCCATCATAGACCACAGCAGAATCAAGAGTAGTGAAACAAGTTTTACGATCCCCGAGGAAGCTTGAGCGCGATGGTCAGCTGCTTTTGTACATAAATTTTAGGGCGGTTACGATTTATGAATGCGGTCTCATCGAGATTGATTATTTGGTGTTTATATTACGGTAAATAATCGTAAACGTCACGTTCAGGTCAACTTGATATCCTTACTCAGTAAGTGCTTAGCAATCGATGAGGTAAGCATCTTTAAGCCCAACCTCAGGCTTGTATTATTTGATTGCTTCTAATCCATTTAATTCGTTGCCATCTGTAGTGTGGTGGATTGGTTTTCAGTGAATATAAACCTTGAGAACATATATCCACATCTTACTTTTCTCTCTGGCAAATTTTATTCAGCAATCAAAGAATACAAAAGCGATCTCGACCTCCGCGGTGGATGATTAAGCATGCTTTTAAAGTGAATTTCACACATGCAATAAAATGCTTGCGTCAGGAGTTGCATATTTTCCCACTTTAAATCAGCAGTCGCCTTTGGTGCATCATTCTTCCTAACACAGGTAGTAGGGAGTCACGAATACCGGTAGGAGGAAACGTTGTATGGAATCGGATTGTGTAAACTACTTGTACATGGGAATAAAAGTATCCCGCCCCCTCAAAACCGAGCTGCATTTCACCGTATGAGAATATATATACTTTAAATGTTTTGGGTGCTATACCTCAGTTATGCAAACCAGGCTACAACCCTTTACATGAATCGCATTCAAGATGGTACCATCAACTCATTGGGAAGTGCATCTTTATCTGTTGATCGGAAATCGAAATGGACAGTGGGTCGTGTACCAATTTGTAGACATTCTGGTGAACGATTAATCATCCGACATCTAAAGTAGAACCAAAATGTTTGTTGGCCAAATGGAACATCAGTAGTGTGTTCCCCTTCAGTGTACTACGAAGACACTTCTACTGTGTGACGGCAAAGCCGACATAGCAAGAATGTGCAAATCGCTGTTTGGATGTATGATTGATTTTCTTCCTTCGTTGTGTGAGGTCCGTTGTGGGTTTGCAATTGTGAAATTTTATCAGCTCAGGTACCAGCTGAGATTTGGCAGCTAGTTACATCGCTCTGTGCATTTGGATTGTTTTGAAGCGCTGTCAAAATATCAAAAAGCTACAACATACTGGCTTAAAATGATTCCATAATTGTGCAAATCACCCGCTGTGTCCCAGTTTGACTAAACTGAAACTTTACTGGGAGGCATGTAGCGGCCGCTTTTCGTGCTTTCGCGCGAATTCCACCATTCACAACCACTTTGCCGGAAGTGTGCACCTGGGGGGAGGGCATGAAACGAGCTATGGTGCGCTTTGACAAACGGAAGTCGTAAACATTTTTTTCAATGTTCGAAACTGTAGGATTCGTGTGATACCAGTGGTTTACAAGACAATTTCCTTCTCCTTGCTTTGGTGTAATCTGGGACAGGTGGAAGCTCGGATAGAAGTTTATAGTTTCAAGCCACTTAGTTGAATGCACAAACTCTGTTTATATTACTTCCAAATCTCACGCCAGGTATCTATGTTTTACTCATACAAAAATCCCTGCGATACAAAATCTAGTCCACGCGATTTTAAACCTTGAACATGGAGTTGTGACAAACAATGTCTAATCAGTACATCGAGAGGATTGTGTAATTACTTATCACTGTAGCACAATGTTCAACAACAATGTTCAACAACAGATCTGGACGATTGTTAAGTAGGAAAAGTGGTAGATTTAAGTCGAACGAGTGCAATTCACAGTGGATACGCTTAGTGGCACTCAGCCTCAAGTTTACCTAAAACCCTGTGTATGGCAATGCTCAAACTCGTGTGAACAGTTAGGTCCGTCTCATATTACTTGCACCATGATACTTCTGTTATCTTGGTTGAAATCACAATGGTTGCCTAGTGTTAACTACCTCCTCATGTTCAGTCATTTTGCAAGCGGCGCTAAACCAACTATGACGCCACAGAGCTTTCAAATAAAGTGTCCATATATTATCTAACCTGGGTCCTGAACTTTATAATGGCACTAACATACAATATTTCACAGAATAAGTTGGATTTATTTAATTCACGTATTCTCAACCATCTACTCATATACGCGCAGTGGCAATATTTTAAAGTGACAATAATAAGAAATCGATACGATTAATTCATTAGAGGGACTAGTATTATTTTGTCAAAATACCACAAGCCTGCTGTGGTTAAATGACGCCTCCGGCATCCAGCGGCTGAAGCAGAGTCTGTGCAAAATAAACTCTTGGGACTAGTAAGATGTAGCTTCGGCTGTTGGGACCGATGATCTCGATTGCTACAGCTTCCAATTACTTACCCGTATCAATCCTCTTTCATCGGCACTCACTCACTCTTGCCACTTCGTGTAGATGAGCAGCTGACTGAGGATATGCCAGGCAAGAAAGTTTGGGGTTATTTCGCGAAATTTTGTTTGTTTCTGCTATTTTGCAGTTGAAAATTTTTACCTCCAGACACATTCAGTCAGTCTTCACACGTTCGGCACAGCACTGGACGGCTGTGTCATCCTTGCGAGAATCAACAACAGTGCGTATTTCCTCTGATCCATGTGGAACTAGAAACTGCATCCCGGCTGTGACCAGTTCATGGCTAAAGCCACCGGGCTACGGAGAACAACAACGACCGACATAACTGCTATTACGTGTGTAATAGCACCGCCCACAATACTTATCAAACTTAATCCACCCAGTGGTCCTATCCACGAACTGTTACAGTGGGGTTGCTGGTCATAGTCCCACAGGTACCGGAGGGAATGCACACTGGTGATGCTTCCCGAACAGATGAAACGGCCGTCCAGTGCTCTGCCAGACATGTAACGGCAGTCTGACTGAGGTCAGATGTGATGAATTCCAACTTACACGAGTCCAATCCTACTATTAATCCCTTGTATTTTAAAGTTCCCGAAGAGAGAGGATATGTGACGTTACCAGCGCTTATCTTCCGTGCCACTTCTTAAAAAGCGCTTAACGACTTGTACTCGACATTCTACATCCTGTACCATGAACCGCAGAGGACTTGCTGATTACTGCTCAACCCAGGGTGAGACGGTGAACATTCTCAATGATGTTGTTTGCCGGAGCAGTGTGGCACACCTTCGTTGAATGTCCTCCGTAGCGATACTACAAGTATCGATGTCAAGTTAGCCAGGCAGTTAGCTGGTAGCCAGATAGCCGCAATATGTATTGTGTCCGGAATGCTTTCACGTGCTGCACTTGAACTGCTGCAGAACCCACCGACCCCTATCGTAAATGGCGACGGTACCACCAGGGTTCCAACGCTTTGGGGTAACGGAAGTTTTACAACGACATTCATCACATGAGCCCTGAGATCCGAACCAGTATAGGATGAGGTTAGGGTGAGGATACGCGCGAAATTACAGCGCACAAACCTACCAACTTTTTATCGCCCGCCCTTTAGTGTCCACATCCTACGGTGGGCTTATAAACAATGGGACCTGTGTGATCAACTAGCACTGTCGTTTCCTGGTCAGTGTTTTTTGCACCTGGGTAAGTGTCTCGTTAGAATGCAACTGTCTCTCTAATTATGTTGACCTAAATAGCATATTCGAATTCTTCTGCTGAAAGCTGTTTTCAGACAAACCAAATAGGTTTTTGTCACCTACTATGAGATGCTGGTACACCACCACCACAGCAGCTCGGCACTGTCAGTCTTTCTAGTCTATCTCATTCAAACCCGAGCAAAATATTGTGCGCCCTTTCGATTTGACAACGGAAAACTCCTTTCGATAGCAAAAAACTAATTACCGCCTTATTTGGCTACCATTGTTACCTTAACCGGTGGTTTACTTCTGTCATATTTTTTCATCCCTCTGTCCGTCACCGTACGCGAGTTTCGCATCTTAGTGTATACTTCCAGACAAGCTGTGACCGCCTATGGACCACTCAAACTCAACCAAGTCCTGCGAAACGATCACGTTCAAATCGCACTGCTATCTGAATTTGTCGTATCTAACTATTAGGATGACCGCGAGTGGACGGATTACACCAGTCACAGCGATGGTAGACATTTGAGTGATTCTAAAACTTTTCATACACTCTGATTCTGGTATTTGATGATAGTGACAAAAGATGCTAAGGATAACCCAGCCCGATGATTGTGGCTCCAATTGCGTTCAAGGAAAGTTTGCGTTGCCTTCATTTAGTGAGGACAATGGCTAAGTCTATCCATCCATTGAGCTCACTTACTTCTGGCTACAGTCGGGCTGGTTACCGCCCCTACCCGTTCCATTCATGCTACCCGACTGAGTTATAACATATTACTGGAGTTAGTGCGCCCCAGATCCAAAGTCCCAACTACCAAGCCTGGGGATTCATTGCCTACTACTCAATGAATTTCACAACTCATCAAATGTGCACGCCGGTGTATCACTGGTTATTTCAATTATGAGCTATAGCATTAAGATGTTATGGCTCGACCTTTAATTTGACCTTGCGCATTTGTACTGTGACGTTCAGTGGATCTACGAGTGGCTATTGTCCTTCGTCCTTTGATGCTTATAAACTCTTACTAGTCACCAGTAGTGCATCACCACTTACAGTGGCTGGAGGGTTCGCCGTGCTGTGAAACCATAAATCACTTCGCCACATGTTTATAAAATTGCAACAGCATTCATGACATATTGCATTTGTTTCGTTTTCGCCAAGGGTACTTCCGTCTTTTAGTTTGTAAACCTAGATAGCACACAATATTCACGCAACCGTTTGCTTTAGAACGCAATCCTATTAACCCCGCACCTTATTATTCAAATCTGTTTACTTTTCTTGGTCATAGATTTGTATGCGCAGCTGTCTCGCCGGCCGTGATCGTCCCCAATATGATGCGGTTGGAGGTAACCGGCTGGGGGGTGGCCGAGGGGATCCCCACACTCGTCGTGGCCGCAGCAAGTTTAGACGATGTGATCTCCATTACCGGTTTCGGTGTCGCGTTAGCTGTCGGGTTATCCACCGGGGAAAGTCTTGTGGCCACTCTGTTCTGGGGACCGGTGGAGGCGCTGCTCGGAGCTGCATTTGGCGCCTCTGTTGGATTACTGCTTTGCTTCTTTCCGCCCCCAAAACTGGTAAGACGCATTACTTTATTCATCGTATACATTGCATCATGCATGAGTTTTATAGAATCTATCACATTTGGACCAAGTCAGGTAATCATCGACACCCAGCAAGGCACTAGATAGTGGACTCCTCCTTTCTGAACTCTACGGAAGGGCACAATCCTTCTACTCGAGTCGGTGGTCAAAACTGAAACCATAAGGTATGCGACAGCTGCCATAAACCTGGAACTGGATATAGTATAGCTCAGTTTATTCCCCACTGTTGTTCATGCCTTCAAGGTAGACAGGATATGAGCAGCCTGCAAAACCGTCACCATCCATTAACACTATCAGCTGCTCTGGGCGATTACTGACTTTTAAAGGATGGATGAATTTGGAACTATTTCAAAGGAGACTCGTAGCAACTACACACAGCCAGTTCACCAGTAGAATGAGGAAAAGTACTGCTTAACCATCTCGTTATTTTCTGCCTTCTCAACAGTGCGGTACGAAGTCCGAAGTAATGACTCAGTGTCTTGTATGTACAAATCCATGATTTCTTTCCTGAGCGGGTGCTGGAGGAAGAAACAGCCCTCTAATGTTTCACCGGATGTTGATGTTTCTTTGATTGGTTCTAGCTTTGATGAATTCCATTTAAAACATTTGAATCCTCCTACTATTCACTTACAATGCATTGGTGTTACAAACTAGAACGAACTTATTGGAGGCAACATTTTTACTTGATTGGTGGCATTTGACTCACTGTGTCAGGTAGGCTCACAGATAGCACCAGCGTACAGGAAATCGGATCTCGAAAGGCTGAGTTTCTCCTGGTGGCTCAACGGGGCGCAATCTGTTGTCCCCGCTGAACTTTTACATGCGAGAACATTGTCTCATCAGCATGGCTTGGCATATCGAAATAACCAACCCCTAACTTGCCAAATGACAACCGAGCACATGAGCATTCAGAGTAGGAAGTAAAATACGCCTACGGCCTGGAAAAGTATATGTACTACTGTTTATCTCTCTGTGAATGTACTCGGTGGCGAAGCTGATGTTGGATACATTCTACGTCTTCGCTACCATTTACGTATTCCGCCGATGTGGTCTGATCGGTTATTCACCACTGTCGTCACTAACTTCTGGCTCTATGTCAGATAGTAGTACAACTGAGCATATTCATTGCAATCACATTCACTTGACTAACAATCACGCATCTCGAACGAAGACTAGAGTCCGGTTCGTTTTGCTGGAACCCATCGACACCGCGCATCTCCTTCGGATCTTACTGAGTTCGAACTCATGACTGTCATGTTACCAGGCATCAACTTATCCAACTGAGACATCGGTGGCATCGGCCGGCTACTGCGACTGATTGTTAATTATGGTATGTCATGACGTCATCCCCACCACTATGCTGTTTGCTAACATGCAAGTGACCAGTTTGGTTCATACATCCATGAATGATCTGGCACAGTAGCATTACAAACCAACTCGGATGATTACCTGAGAAAGAGATATCACACACTATATACTGTCCTTCAGTAGCTAAAGGTGGGTACAAAGGAAATGGATGCATGTGCGTCAACAGTGTTTGCAAGTTCCGTTTTGGAAATGTGAATTCAAACAACTCTGTCGCCCGGAATAGCTTGCTTATACTATCAAGGATAGGACCTATCGTTCCAGCAATCATCTTTGAAGCTTACACATATCCGCTTTATCGCCGACCACACACATCCCCCTTTTCACAGTCCACTGGAGGTGGGCATACAATTAGATGGATTCAAGTCAGCTATCCTCATTAGTTCCCTGCAAAGAACAACTGCTGCCCATTGGGCTTAATCATCAGAGCATTCAATTTCCAGTTGATGCCGCTTCGAACTCGATCAAGACGGCATCTGACAAGCAGTATGCTTTCTATATGATTGACTTTAAAAATATCAACGTACAGGAAGACAAAGGGTGATACTGCATGTCACATGGCCTCAGAGCGACTCGTATATGAAATAAAAGCTGGATGTAGCTACATCTTGAATTTCACCCAGTAGATATCGATAATCTGGCTTCACGCAATATCCGTCCATTGTACTTGCGTTTGCAATACATCTCACAGACAAGCCACTACGTGGGTACTTCAGTTTAGGTAAGTACATACACGGGTCAGCTATGTCGGTATCGTTCTCACTGCTGCAGATACCAGCGTCATGTCTGTCTTGCCATTTTTATCTCACTACTCCTTCGTTAGTGGGTTTGAAAGCAGAGAGTTTCGGAGCTCTTTTCTCCTAACACTGCACTCCGCGACCTACCAGTTTCGTCCAGATTTGGACTCGTCAAGTAAAGATAGCCTGAGCTGAGAGGGGAGCCCAACACAGTGGTTGACAGCTTTCGTCTTGGTTACTAGACCGGAGGTCCACAGAAACCCTTGACACAGCGGTTAAAAGTTCGTTAGTGGGTTTTGGTGTGTGTCTGGATTGAGACACACACTCTCGATTGAGGCTACAGTTTGCTTTGCAGCAAATATGTGCCATTTCGGTCCCTGGGACCGCATCCGAAGTGGAGCTTTTCGAAGCTGCTTTCTCCCAACACTGCACTTCACGACCGACCGGTTTCGTCCTGATTTGTACTCGTCAAGGTTACAGCTTGATGACTAAAACGGGCGGGACTTCTAACCCTAAGTGTCGCCAAGCTGTTGAACGTCACCATCTCAACTGCTGGCTTTCGGAATCCGTCGATATGTACTGGGGGAGAGAGATGCACAATATTCGTAAGGGTGTCATGCTCAGAATGACTTCCTCACACAACGAGCTGTGTCCCATTTAGCGCCTTTAGGACTAGAGTACACATTTTATTGCCCTTTACCTCAGCGGTTGGAAGAACATGGGCTGACTTCGAATCCATTGTGTACTTACTTACTTATCGATGTTGCTTTTTCGGGTGTATGCTAGTTCTTCGGCTTGTGACCGCAAGTGCGTGAGGAACTGTGCAATACACTACTAATTCACTTGTAAGAACAGGCATCGGTAAACCTAGAAGCTAATATCGTCAACCGTAGGTGCGGAGATAGCAGCGTTGAGATCACCAGCCTACGTCTGACATCTTTGATCAAAACCAACAAGAGTGCTGCGTATTGAAACCGTTTGGTAAAATAATATTTTTTTGTTGTCCTCTTTGTTTTTGGTGCCGTTATACAAGTGTAGGTAGAGGCCTGAGCACCACTGTATTGGCCAACCCCTTACTGCGCACTTTTCATCCTTCTGACGTTTAGATAACATTCTGTGGGTTACTAGTTACCTTGGAATCACTAGGATCAACCAGCCATGGATTAAGCTATTTACGAATCAACTGATAGTGCTTTCAAAGCCATGTGATGGTGACGCGGAGCGTAGTAGCATACCAACAACGCATTATAATAGGCCTATTGTCCTCAATGGTGAGGAAGAGGAGTACACGAATGCCGGATTCCTCTCAGAACTCATCCTCTGCTAGTAAACTTATCTGGCGCATGGCCAGATCGACACACTGAGCTGGAATTGTAGCAGTCTGGATAACCCCCAAGATTGCCACTTAGTAACGCAGCGAAAGAACGTAGCTTGGCCGAGAAATTTCGCGGAATTGGTGCTAGTAAAATGTAGTTCATGGGATCGGCCGAACCAAGGATTAGGAAACGTTTCATCTACAGCGCGGTAAAGAAATTAATGCTACCACTGAGCTCTTGCTTTCCAGTCTTCATCCGTCAATGGGAAGTTCCAATTTTTTCGCTTGATTCTATTGAATTGATCATTCTATTGTCCTTTCTAATTTTTCAGAATTTTTCAAGGCAATTTTACGGTGAGGTTGAGTATGACAGCTAAATGCAAAGCTTAATTGAACCAAAGTAACTGTTTATGGACGTTGGCTCACTCCCCGCAGCATTTTACTTTCTAACCCACTGTAGCTTAGCCACACCCAAAGTCATTTGTAGCACGTAACCAACTGCCTCTTCATGAAATATGGTTCTCTTTATGCGAACGGCATCCTCTACTTAACTGGCAGCCCAGTTTACATTCCATTTCACATTCTTGTGAGAGGTTTCTCAAACGAGAAAGAACGCTTGTATGGCACTCCGTTAAGTGGGTCGTTACATGATGTTCGATTGTGCCTGGCCTCTCTAAGGGTCCCATTATGCCCACCTTTCGAGCTATAAAAAGCTTTCAAGCCGCACAGCAATTTAGTACCTCTAAACATCCATCTCCAGCAGTCCCGTACAACAGTATTTAAATCCATTTGCTGTTGACAAAAGAAGTCACCTTCCTTCTCTTGCGATGCATGAAACATCCCCTGCGTTATTTTATGCCGTTACAAAGCTTTATTTCAAAGCTGCACCAGTCCTGCTACTATTTTCATTCACTGCTAACCTGGCTGTGAACTGCTAGCCTTCTACACACTGTCTCCGTTTAAATCAGTTCATAACTGTTAAAGATACGAGGCCAGCGAATAATGAATTGATGGACAGAAAAGAGATTGTATTCAGTGAAATGTTGAATGCTAATATATGTGCGGTTCAACAGCAAAGTTCAACTCAGAACTGAACCGGTTTGAGTGGTGTTACTTCATAGTAATCAACATATTCGATATGGTTATTGGTTATGATGTGTTTAGTAGCTCAGGTTCATCCTATTTATATCGTTGTGTTCCAACGCATTGGTTGGGCTTTGGCGTTCTCATTACCGTGCGGGGTGGAACCGGTTGGGGCGGCACAACAGATTCTGGCGACGGGACGTGTTGAACAATCATGGCCATTTCATTCGAGCAGGTGAAGTCCCTCCTTCAGCAGCGGCAGCAACTTCAGTTTGAAAAGTCACACAGCAGTTAATCCAGTTGCTATCAGCGAAGCTGAACATCCAAGTAGATTGAGACCGGAACTGAGGTTGACATCCCAGGAAATTATATCTGAATGCCACAAGATGCTCAGTTTGTATCATGACCCAGAAATGATTGAACAGAAGAACCCCAGTCATTTGTGGCCAGAATGTGAAGGGAGATGTGCCGAA